TTTGATCTTCCTGTTGAAGATGACCACTTGGTAATCTAAACACGTGTCGAGGTGTTGAAAAAAAAAAGGTTTGGTGTTGGGGAAAAAACTCCAGTAATATTCATTACTACACTAAAAGTTCGAAACAGTGCATCACAAGCCTATTGAATGTTCTCTTAGGAGGTATATTCAGAAAATGCCTGGAATTTTGGTTTTATGAAAAAATATTTACTTCTCAAACTCGATCTATGGGATAACCTTTAGCTCTTTCAACGACGCACTTCAAATGTCATCTATGGTTGTAAAACGATGGTCCTTTGAGATTCTCTTCATTTTGGGAAAACAAGGAAAGTCACACTGAGTTATGTCTGGCGAATATGGAGGCTAGGACATCGCTACAGTATTGTGTTTGGACAAAAATTCGAGAATGAGCAATGAAGTGTGAGCAGGCGCATTATTATAGTGCATAATGCATGAGTTGCTTTTCCACAAATCTTGCCTTGCATCAGAGACTTCCCTGATTGTGATTAGGCGATTGTTCATAACCATTTCATTCACTTTTTTTTCGTTTTCGTCAGTTGTTAACGTGCTGCGATGTCTAGGGCTTAATACATCTCGTTAACTCTTGCTTTACTTATAGCAGAGTCATTATAGATCTTTGTTAATATTACATACTCTTTGTTACACTTTATTTAATTTTTCATGTAAAATTTGATATTAATTCTTTTATTCATTTGTTTTAACAGTCTAATCTTAGCCACTGCAACAGACAAAGTAAACAATGAATACATCTGCAGTCCAGTTCTTATCATATTTTTCAAGTTTAAATGCTTTTATGGTGTGAGCCGATTTTTCTCAGAAGGCCAACCGATAAGCTAAAATGGATTGTACAAGTCCATATTAGGTTAGTTTCAGCACATTTAATGATACTGTTCCTTGCACTTCATTACGATATTATCTACATGTAAGGTTAGGTTAGGTCCAAAGTGAGTGGGTCTATTCGACCCTCCACCGCAACCCGCAAGGGTTTATTGTGGCTCACACCTATTCACACTCGACCAAATAAACCCAGCTTCTTAACGAAGCCGATTAGTTTGTATGGTGAGTGGTCTTTCAGATCAGTATGGCTCTGTCGAACTCTAAAAACCTGATTCGATCCCCAGCGGGGCAGGCACAAAGTATATGCTCTGCTGTTTCATCATTTTCTAAAACAGAGGCGACACACACTGTCTTCCGACAGTCCAAGTCTCTACATATGACGATTCAAATGACAGTGACCTGTAAGAAGGCCTATTAGACATCGTAGTTCATCCCTACTGTAGTCCAACAACTGTTAGGTATTAAGCTTCGAAGTGTGAATAAACGCCTTGGAGTGAGCCAATCCTGGAAGATTTTGCTCAGAAGTTCATAAATCTTCTTGCCGTCCAGGTGGCAAAGTCTAAAGCGATGCCAATGACAGGTTCTGGTCCGATAAAGTTGCTTGCAGCACCCTCCTTTGCAAGGGAATTCTGTTGGAGAATAATGACTACTCATTTATTGATTTTGATCATCAACCCGCTAGGAGAATTGATCGTATACTACATTTTTTTTCCACTCCATAGAATAGGCATATCCTAATTCATTCTATACTTCGGTGACAGACAGTGTCAAGCTCCTCCATTACCTTCATTATTCCTTTTTTTCAGGAACCGACTCAAAACCCCACCGCTAATTTAGACCGTTCCCACGACCGCGTCTACGAATGCACAACCGACGTAGTGAGGGCCGTAATGTCACTCTCTCAAGGCGTTCAACAAGCCGTAGCGGAGCAGTACCTCGAACTAGTCAAGAAGGTTGGAATTGAGCTGAGATCGCTGCTAGCCAGCGTCGACGAGATCGTTTCGGCTTTCCCAGTAGCCGCCCAACGGGAAGTAGAGATGGCTCACAAGGTTTTATCCAAAGATATGGCGGAGTTGGTGAACGCCATGAAGTTAGCGCAGCAGTACAGCCACACGACTTTAGATGCTGAATACAGAAAGTGAGTCTAGATACATTTTTAAGGTTATGATGATTTGATGAAATCCTCACATGCCACAGCCAGGAAATAAGGTGACAAGGTGACATCAGTACAGGGTGACCACATGCGGTAGATTTCTACTTTTTCAGTAGATTTTCAACACAAATTGAACAATTACAGTATACAAATTTTCGCCGGTATATTTGGATTAGATGCCCCGGCGAGAGAATTTTCATTTCAGTGTGAGTGGCGACATCTACAGCAAATGTCATGAATTCACTGTTTCTAGATTGTTTCTAGGTCCTGCCCCCTTCGATACACAGAACACAAAATGGATACAGATCATAAAACATCCATTTCCCGATTGCTTGCTACTGTTTTCTGAATATCTCCGACCTCCGAGTAAAGGAAGAAGATGATAATAATAATACATAATCTCATTTCACTTTTCGTGTTCAGACTTTCAAAAAATTGAAAGTTTCATTTCAAACATGGAAACATTTCTGTTTTTGAATCTTGAAATCTAATACTTGAAATAGTTCCAGTGTTCAAGATAACCAACAAAAAAGAACCAACTAGAAATCAACTTGCTATTTCAAATATTAGACCACGCCCATCGGACATACTCGTAAGAAAGCCAAGACCTTCTAGATTCAGTGACGCTATTCAAATGTCTTTACAAACGCCACCTAGTGGTCGAAAACTAAAATCGTCACTATTTTGGTGCTTTTCAACGATCAAATCAAAGAGTACACCACTTCAAATACATTGCACTAGATTTTCAATGACATTTTAGGTAGATTTCTCAAATAAAATGTGGTCACGCCGTATCGGTATGAAACATTTATCTAAGTTCCAATCTGGCCTTGTTGAACCTGTAACTTTAATATTGAGTTATTGAGAAAATGGTTTGATGCAAATCTACTACA